CAGAGTCAGCTCCTCAGCTGATATAGACAGTTGCCTCTCACATCATTCCTAACAACCCTCATTTATGCCTATTCATCTACACTCTTTAAGTATGGGCCATATCACACCAGCATTCATATTTATCTCAATTCACGGAAGTGTGCTTTTAGTGATTTTTAACTGCATGTGAAAAAGAACACGGTAATACATATAAGTATATACGATATATACAAACAATAATAAAGACTTCAACGTCTGTCATAAGAAGGGTGAAGCCTTTTTAATGTGCTCTTTTCTCCAAAAAACAGATTCATGTAGCAGGGAGTGGAGCTGGCAAGGGTCACACTGAGGATGATAGTGAACAACTAGCTTTAACAATTAAAACTTCCTGTGCTGCTCACTTTAAAAACAGTGGTTCTGCCAGGCTGAATAATTTTTACACAAACCATTCTTTGACTTTGGGTGCCCAGAATACACTATAGAACATTTTCAGAATACAAGAAATCAGTCAAATAATAAAATTAAAAAGTCAAGTTGCCATCACTGCAATAAGGTTTCCTTGCAAATGAAGTGAACATATAGAAAACAAAGTCCTTTGTCTTGACTTTTATAAAGTTCTTGGGAAGAAATGTAGGCTCTGGTCCATGCTGCTGTAAAAGATCCTTTGCATTTGCAAGACAGATGAACGCTAATAGAAAAGTCTGAACAGAATTATTTTATCATTGCAACTTGATATCTGCATCAGAAAGGGAAAACTTTTGAAAAACTTTCAGGTGAACCCACCAAAAAGATAAGTATCTCCTCTTTGTTCCATGATAGTTTCATCACACATAGATACTTACATACATAAAGTGATCCCTCTTAAAAATAATAAAAAATAACCACAAATACCACATGAGAACCACAGTTATTTCCTACCCTATTTACAGGAGGGAATTGTGGTCTTGGGTTCAGCCTACATTCCTTCCTGTTTCTCCAATTTCTTGTCTCGGATATCCCACAGCTTCCCCAGGCTTAGCCTGGAAAGATGAGAGAGTCTGCTTTATCCACCTACAGATTTCCCCATCTTTTTCCCTTTATCATTGACAGGTTTGCTATCACTCCACTCCACTTCCCCAACTTTGACACTTAACGTTTTAGTTCTCTCTAGAGTACTGCAAAACCTCAACTTTTTTATTTTCAACCATGAAAAAAATCAACTTTTTTTTCTCATTACTCTTTTCTCATGCTACTTCTTAAATATTTCCAGATGTTCCTTATCTCTTTCCACTGCCACATTCAATATTTCTTGGCTTTGTGCTCAAAGTGGAAGAAAAACTCTACCCTTCCTACATGACACTGCTTTCTGCTGCTTTTACCCCCCCTCTTCCAGCGGTGTATCAGCTGTCCTCTGTGTCTGCCAATACATCCTTTCACTACCAAGCATCTCCCTTCTTCTTTGTCTTCAAGTCTATGCTTTAAAAACTGATACAAACCCCTTTGCAATAGGTTATATTCAGCACTCACTCAATACTCACATTAACAAGAACAATCTACACGCGCTACAAGACAACGTACTGAACTGTACCTCCTGTACAGTCCACCTTCTGAAGGATGATGAATGTAGAGCTCTAATACCATCCCCAGAAAAGAAGGCAAACTGACTGTTAGAAAGAAAAAAATCCCCGGGTTTTTTTCAGTCAAAATCAGTATTAACACAAAAATATCCCTACTTATGCTTATTTACATCTGTCTTTTTCCAAAACGGGTAGAAGAGGAAAGTGGTTTTGTTTTAACTTCCTTCTCCCAGTTCTCCAGAAGTGAGCCAATATTTTCTTATGTTTCATTCTACAAAGCAAAATGCAATTGTGGTGACAAGTCTCCAAATTTTCTTGGCCATAGAACCTGTACTCCATACTACTACATCCTCAGTTAACCACAACATTTTTCTGTATGCCAGCTGAAATTAATCATCACGATGATGGGCTTTTGTTTAGAGAAATATCTACAGTATAAAAATATACAGGACTGAAAAAAATCTCTATAGTTCTTATGCTGAGGGAAGAAGATATAGAGCAGTCTATAACAGGTCATATAAAACCCAGCTAACACTGTTATCTGAAGCAAAAGAAAATCAAGATACTCCCAACAGCAGAGAAACCCAGACAACATGAGCACAAGGCACAGGTTCTCACTGAAGTGACTTTTCATGAATCCAGTGTGGGACTTTGTGGTGTCACTTCTGGCACTGAGACTAGGTTGATAAGCCCCAACGGTCCCAAATGGTTCTGCAGCACCAGACTTGATTTGACAAGGCTTATTAGCACTGGCTCTGAGCCCGCTGGACCCAAGCTCTCTTCAATGCTCAATTTGGGCAAATTTGCAACATGCTGCTCTCCAACACTGCAGCAATGGGCACAACAATGTACAGAGATCTGATCCGGCTCTGCATTCAGCTCTCTAAGATTTGGTGGGCTTTATTGGCTTATGACCGTACCACATGGAAGAAACTATAGTTGCTTCCACAAAGCCATAAGGGCCCTGGAAGATATACAGATTCACTCTGGGTTTCCAAGACGATACATCTGGCGGGACCTGAGCTGCCTCTACAAAGGTCAGCTCACATGTCTCTCTATCCACAGCATGGTGAATCTACCAACTAGAAAAACTGCCCAAACTGCCCAGACAGGAGAGCTGAGAGTAGAAGACTTCCCACTAAGCTGTGTTGTATTTCTGTTTAATGAGCAAAGTTAAATCTTTGTTTATGGTAGCTTTTTCCTTTTTTTTTTTTAAATCTACTACTCAGGCTGTAACATCCAATTTGTAGAGACTACAATATTCACATCTGTAACTGAATGATTAATTTGAAAAAAATAAGGCTACACAAGTTCGAACACACGTGTTCAAGCTGACTGGATCAAAGACCCTTGTTGTATTTCTGTTTAATGAGCAAAGTTAAATCTTTGTTTATGGTATCTTTTTCCTTTTTTTTTTTTTAAATCTACTACTCAGCTGTAACATCCAATTTGTAGAGACTACAATATTCACATCTGTAACTGAATGATTAATTTGAAAAAAATAAGGCTACACAAGTTCGAACACACGTGTTCAAGCTGACTGGATCAAAGACCCTTGCCTCCTGCCACACCTCTGCAGTATAAGCACTAGACACAAACACCAGCTCCCACGCCCTGTGGAGTGCTATTTCAGACATGTAAGTTACGTCAAGAGGAAAGTGCACCAAAATGCAACGGATGGAGACTGCCAAACCTAAATGAACAGTGGGTAAAACTTGCATCCTTTTCCTGAAATGCAGGAAACGTGGAGAAGAGTTGCCTCCTCAAAGGCTGCAGGCACCCGAGCGAAGGCTACCTTTATGAAGGTTCCTAAGTGCTTGTCTTCGCGTCCTTTACTGCGAGGTGACAGAAAGCTCTGAGAGCCTGTGCACTTGAGCAAAGCAAGCTGTAAGCCTAACCCTTGTGTTGCTCGTGGCGAGAACACCACTGGGGATGGCCTAGCTTTGACTGATGCGCTACGTCTCATGAGTAGGGTGACACAGAACAGCCAGTTTTAGTCACCCCACCCTCCCGAGCGAGTAACCTGAATAAACTTTAAATCTTGGAGGAGGGAGAGCAAAGCAAATACTTCTTCACAACTTCTGATGTACCACATGCCCTCTGATGCTTTTATAACCAGATCTGACTTCTATAAACAACCTACGGTGTGGCATCTGACTGTGTAACACAGAACAGCTCTGTTCCTTCCTGGAGAATAACGTCTTACACTGAACTTTTAGTTACATTATTAGGGATTTTGTCCAGTCCTGAATGAAATTCAGTTCCTATGATATGTTTGTGGAACATTAAATTATAGTAATTGGCAACATTTCCTAAATTATTTGTATTCTAGACAGCTGCTGTGGCTACAGCAAGAATAGCAACCAATCTCTTCAAAGCAGTAAAAAGTAGCAACGATAAATCTGTTTAGATGGCTTCCTTTTTAAGGGAGTCCTTGCTCCATGGGTCCAAGGGAGATTGATAACTTCCAAGAAAAAACAAAAAGCCAGAACAGAATAACGGAACGCAGTGCTGTTTCTGACTTAAGATGGCAAAATCTTATGAAATTTGTAATCCTTCATGAAACTACATGAGTAGCCACATCCAAGTTATAGACCTGGAGGTGGGGGCAGCTGTGTAAAGGTGTAAAAATGAAAAACACCAGAATAGCTTCACATGCAGAAAAGATATTAAAATATCCCAAATTGAGCATTTTGAGTGCAAAGGAGAGATTCTAGAATTTATACTGTAAAATTAGTTTTGTCTCAAGATAAAAAAGGAAATAGTATTCATTTAAAACGCCATAAATTTTAAAAACTCCTCAGTTTCTTACTACTTACATTCTCAGCGAAGTTCTGTCTATAGCTTTATCTTCACCCATACTCAAAGCAGACATACTTTTGATGTACAGTATGCTTTTATTTTTATAACATTAATTTTTGGTTCTTCAATTTCAAATTTTACACACAGGAAAGAAAAATAACTTCTTTTCAACTTAAATCAGTCAAAAAGAAGATACACATTTAAAATGGATCTTGAAGTCTGCAATTTGGAATTTTATTCTTTATTTAGTGAGTTTTGACCATTTATTTTCTTTCTTTTCCAAAAGACAAAGGAATCTTAATACACTTTAAAAATAGATATCTAATTCTGCTTTTGTGAAACTATTGTCTGGAAAAAAGAACATTTTAGTTTTATATAGTCTTGCTTAACTATGCAATATTTCAGAAACAGAAAATACCAAAGTAAGAATACTTGCCATTTTAAAAGCATGATTACATGATAAGGCCTAATTCAACTCCTGTGGAGTACAATGGGCAAGAACAGTAGTGTTAATGTTCTCCCTCAAATTATACTTTTGTCCTCACTAGTGTGAGAAACTAACTGAAAATTGTTTTTAACAGTCTCCCTTAGAGATTTAAATCATACATGCTAAACATTCAACCACACGCACACACACTAACAATAGACCACTTTGCTACTTACCATTTGAGATCTATTTTTTGGGCACCCATTGATGTCTTCAATCTTTTCATTTGCTGAAAAGCAAATATAAAAAGTAAAGCAAAAAGTATACCAAGGAAATTTATGCCAATTATTTCCAGAGCACTTGCTGCTAGCTAAATAAAGAGGTTTAAGATTGTGGTTGTCCAGTGAAAGTGAATGTGTGAAACACTGAGACCCATCAAGAAAAGCAGCTGGACTTTTCTAGTGGGTCATGCCTCCAGAGACAGCTGGAGTCAGAAAACAACTGGTCCGACAACATTTAGGACAGGGACGGGTAACTCCTTTAAACTACAAAAAAAAGATTTAAACTCCAGAAAGTGCATCACTGCTGGGCAGGAAAGCATACATTACATATGCATAGACATTTGCATGTCAGGTTGATTTGTCTGCAGAGTGAATACAGATTTCATAGTGAGGCAGGAATACTGCGAACAATTCTAATTTCAGCACAAACTGTGAGACTTCTCTTCAAGCTTCACATCCATGGCTCACCTGTAACACAACTTGCAGAAAAATACACTTTCGATCTTTAAAGTCTCAAGTGAAATTAGTAAGTTGTTGAGGCGGTTAAATGCCTGCCTTGGAGTCTGAATTTGCTTAGTTTCACCTTTCAGTACTGGACCCTGAAATAACTTTTGTGTGCTATACTGAACAACCAGTTAAAATCAAACTTGTTTTCCATAGTTTTTTCATTGTAATAAAGGTATCCTCTTTGATCAGTTGAATAGATTTGCATCCTGTTGATTCTTTCATTATAAAGACATGTTTACTACCTGTCACACACTCTCCAGGCAACAATCAGAGCTCCATCTAATTTTCTGTCATTCTTCAGTTAGGAATGTCAAATTTGGCACAGTATTCCAGTAGCAGTCATAATGTCAAACACAGAAATAATATAACTTCTTTACTCCTGCCTGCTATTCCCCTCTTTATATATCAAGGTGTCACATTACTTCCTTATGCCACAGTAACGCATTAAGAATTTATGTTAATGTGAAAAAGCCATTGCAGATCAGTCAGCTGCAGTGCTCCTCAGAATAAACTATCAGACTCCATCCACAAAAAAGCATGCATAGGTTCCTAGAAGTGTGACCTCAGATTTGGTCATACAGAAAACTAAATGATTTCCTCTATCCTGTTTTCAATCCTGTGCCTCCAGATTTTTTTGGTTACCGTCTCTCAGCTTTGCATCATGCAATATCTTTATTTACATATTAATTCTGTAGTAATTTCAAAAGCTGATATCATAGTAGTTTGATAAGATCTTATTGCCATAAATTTGCACTAGTCATAACTAATACTTGAAAGGAGGCTAATGCAGTTCTGAATGAGCTCTTCTCTCATTTGTGCCAGATGTGTAGAGAGATATCCCTATTAAGCCAGGTCATTTTGTTTATCCTTCTTTTAAATTAGTA